ATAGGGATAGATTTATTGTAGAGATTTAATATAACGGCACATGTAAACAACTTATACAAGTTATACAAGTAATTAGTATGTAAATAAATCCATGAAAAATGTTATCTACTATTAAAATACCAAAAGTAAATTGGTTCCCAAAATAAATATAAACATTGTTATAAACACTGTCTAATCCATTGAGGGTCCTTATTGAGAGCAGGGGGCGGTGGACGAGAGAGTAGAAAAGGGTTAGGGGAGGAGAAAACCAAGGCAGACAATGGAAAAAAGAGTTTTCTTTTGGAGCGACCAAAAAATGTTCTGCCATTTGACAAAGGTGGTAGTTGTATTGTGAAGGTACTAAATGTCACAGAAATCATACACTGTAAAATAAGTATTTTGTTATGTGAATTTCACTGCAATGAAGGAAAAAAGTGGGAAACAGGGAGACAATATAAGGGGGGGGGAGTAAGAAACTGTTAAAAAGGTTAAATGGACCTGATATTCCTTTCTCTAAATTATTTTTAAGTCTGCTTCTAATCTCTTTTCAAATTCACTTTTTAACAGAATAGCCAATAATGATAATGGTTAGGGCAAAACATTTCCTTGTTAATGAAAATCCACTTATGGGCTATAAGTATAGCTCAGTAGTATAGAACTTGCCTGCACAAACCCTGGGTTTGATCCCCACCAAATAAATTGAGAGAGAGAGACAGAGACAGAGACAGAGATACACACACACACACACACACACACACACACACACACGGAGGAAGAGAAGGAAGAAAGAAGAGAAAACCAACATAAGATTCAGTGTGACTGAGAGATGAACATAGAATTAATAAAACATTTGAAAAGTTTCTTTAGAAAGAAAATGTATATAACAGGCCATTAAGGAAGAACACAGATTCTTAAACCTGTAAAACAAATACTTAGAATGGGTAAAGAAGCTCAGCATATAAAACAATGGTAAGTCTTTTTTTTTTAATTATTACATGTCAGAAGACTGAGCTCCAAGTATTTCCTTTTAATAACTTTAAGAATCTTCCCACAAAAAAACTTTCCAATAAAAAAGGAAGTGAATAATTTCCTATAGATCCAGGAAAGAGGAAAGCATTTTTTTCATTTTCAACATTTCCCAAGTTATGCTCCAGGATACACTGTTTTGAAAAAATATTTAATATACCACAAATAAAGAAAAGAAAAGGGAGGTGGAAGGAAAAGAAATGAAAAGGAAAAAAGAAAAGTTACATACTACAATCTTACTCTTGGAAGATTCACAATGCATTGCAAAGTTCTACAGTAGGAAAGCCAGTTCATCATTATTAAACTTATATTTTGATTTATTAGGGACTGAACAGTTCTCAAACTACGCCTCTTAAACACATGAAGCACCAATTTATTAAACTCTTTAGATTTATACCAGATCACATATAAATTAGATAATTAAAATATTAGCCCAAGGAACAACATTAAGATACATATAAAAAAATAATCAATTATCTGAAGAAAACTTTCATATTACCACCAAGCAAATACAAGAACTTAGTGGCAAGAAATAAGGAGGAGAAAAGATAGTAGTTAAGAGGAAAAGGAACTTTGGAAGAGTTAGCTCTTTAATTCCCCTTCTATGAGATGTCTCTGTCCTACTCTTTCAGTTCTGATTGCTTATGAAGCAAAACATTTGCAGTTAAGATGTTTAAAAAAAAAAATTCAGTTTGGTTCACTTTCCCCCTTTCCTTTGACTTTTTTTTACATTAATTCCTGATTCTTGATGGTTATCTCAAATGGAGAAGTTAAATATCGGTAAATATTTGCCTCAAAAATACTTTGAGTATCTCAAATGTAAATTCTCACATTGCCATAACAAAATATGCACCCTTATCAATAATAATACTGGATCATTACAAATATAAAATTAAATAATAATGGATAGTTTAAGCATGAATATATTTGAAATTTAAGTTTATTTTACTCAAGGAAATGATGTAATGATGACCACAAAGACCAGACTCTGCACAACATTTCCTGTTGGGTGGGAAAATCACAGGGAAAATATGGAATTAGAGAAAAGGGAATAATTTTAAATGCCCTTTGGATATCCTGACACAAAGGGAAGGCAAAGAAAAAATCTAACTGAAAATGATTTTAACACAAAAACAAAGGTATGTGAAAATGAAACATTTCCACTGAGACATTATCAACTTTGAACCAAAAATAAAGTCACTAGTGATTATTACAAATGTGGCTGATACAGTGTGAAGCAACCAAAAACAGCTATTTAGGCACTGGATACATCAACTGATCCCTTGGAGAACTTAATCCTAACAGGAATATTACTAGAAATTATGCGTTCATTTTAGTTTATAGAAAACACTACATCTTCCTTCCTGGTTACTGTTCATCCTTTTGGTTATAAAAGGGGAGGAGACTGAGTAACAGAAACTATCAATGTCTTACTGGCCATTTACTCACCAATCAAAAAAACAAAACAAAGGCTGGGTGTAATCCCAGTGACTTGGGAGGCTGAGACAGGAGGATCAGAAGTTCAAAGACAGCCTCAGCAACTTAGCCAGCAACTTAGCCTAAGCAAACTTAGCCAGACCCTAAGCAACTTGGCAAGACCCTGTCTCAAAATAAAAAATTAAAAAGGGCAAGGAATATGGCTCCATGGTTAAGTGTTCCTGGGTTCAATCCCTGGTATAAAAAAATAAAAAACAAAAACAAAGACAGCATATGCTTTATTATTCAGCTGTTAATTCTTTATTGTTGTTATACTAATACCAGTATTATAATGGGTGACAAGATCAGGTGGCTAAAGGAACCACTGGCTAAGTAGCAATCCAGATACAAAACAGTTCAGGGAAAAAAAAAAAAAAACATAAGCCTAAATAAAACAAACTACATAGATTAAAGATACACAGAATAAATTTCAACTTTGGTTATTTTACTTTGTAAAGTAAATATGTGAATCTTTTAATTCAAAGGCATAAAGACAGGAGTTATGGAATTAGAAGATGAGGGACAAAAATAGTTTCCAACAGAATTTTTTTGAAGTTATTATAATCTAAAGGTGTAAGCTCTAAAAACTAGACTTCATCGGTAACCTAAAAGATTATCAGTCACCCTTGGTGACTTATTCACACTAAATATAATATAAAAATTATCGTGCCAGATTAATTTATCATGAGAACCTTGTACACATTAGAAAACTTGCCCTCTATTCAGAATACTCATACTTTTTCAGTGTGACTACAGGAATAATCTGGTTTGACTGACTTAATACTCGATTGAGTATAGGATTATAGTAATGTCAAGTAGATCATCTTTTTTTTTAAACTGGGAATTGAACCCAGGGGCACTGAGCTACATTCCCAGACCTTTTTACTTTCAAACTGGGTATCACTAAGTTGTTGAGAGCCATACTAAGTTGCTGAGGCTAACCTGAAACTTTCCACCTTCCTGTCTCAGCCTCTAGAATCACTGGCACTTCAGGGTTGCACCACAAAGCCAATGAATTAAGTCATCATGAGATATCTCATTCAGACCATAAAGAGTCTGATAAACATTTCCACATCACAACTGAAAATACATGTCTAGTGAATCAATGGTACTATTCATGTCCCAGACTTGCCACCTCTCATGATTCAAAATTTACCTTCCTCATTTTTTTTTTCTTATGGCCTACTCCATTTTCTTTAGGTGTGTTAGTATCACTGACAGCTATATCCCTGCACTGTGTCTTACCTAACTATGAGAAGGCAAATTCATTTTCCTATTTTCAAGTGCTTAACAGTACCTCTGACATTCCCATGTACCACCTAGAAATTTAATAGAAGGTACAAAAAAGAGATGATAATGATATCTAATTCTGAACACAATAAATGCCAAAAAAATTGAACGGAACGCAACTCAGTACTGCAAAAATGTAAATAGACTATAGTTCCAATCAAGTTGCTAAAAATTAACCACTTAAAAAAGCAACTTATAGCAGCTCATAAAAGGGCTTAATAGTCATATACTTATGCAAATATTATAAAAGGATTCTACATCTGTATGATGCTTTATAAATTACAAAGTACTTTCCCACCATTCCAAAACTTAATTCCCACAATCACCAACTATTTAAATTAAAAGGCTACACAAAGACATTTATGAGAGTATATGAAATCCAGAATTTTAACTTTTAAAGTCATTAAAGTTTGTATTGACAATTTAGTGTTAATTTAGTCATGAATATATATATTTTTGTTCTGAAATCAGAAAAAAATTAAGATTATGCACAGCAGACAAATTCCCATGTAGTCTTGGGTCATAAATGTTTTAAAAAGTAATATTTAAGGGGCTGAGGATGTGGCTCAAGTGGTAGCGCACTCTCCTGGCATACGTGAGAACTAGGTTTGATCCTCAGCACCACATAAAAATGAAATAAAGATACTGTGTCCACCTAAAACTAAAAAAWAAATATTAAAAAAAGTAATGTTTAAGTGGGTCTTGAGAAAGACACTGTTATGAACTGAATAATAATTATACTTAGAAAATTATGCAAAAGTGTTCAATGATTAATCTAGGCTTCGAATGCCAAGCAATTCCTTTCTTTAACCATTGTGCCAAACACTTTTCAGATTCTTGGTACAGGTGTGCCCCATTAAAAGCTGTTCTACAAAAAATTACATAGTATTTAATCTACCCAAGGATTTTCAGCCTAATCCCCAACTGTGGAAAAACAAAAAGACAAAAATCATATTGTAATGGAATCCAGGCACTAACCTAGTGAGAGGCATTTTACAGAATCTAAGAAATCACATCATCTAAGTACTTAATTAGGTTCTCATCAAATAAGCTGTATTCCACTGAGTTAACATTAAGTTAAAAATAGTAAGTTAAAAAAAGGAGTTATAGAACATAATAAAGCCTACACCACAATGTTTTTCTTTTTTGTGTTTTGGAAATTTTTTCTAAGTGATAATATAAATATAATACATCAATATTTGAAATAAAAAAATCAAGAGAGTTCTTACCTTACTACATCATCAATATTGTTCCTGTATACGCCTTCAAGTCTTTCTGCAGGAAATCCCATAGCAATAATGTTTGGATAAATATCTGAGTACTTAAATTAAGGAAATATCTGAAATATGCAAAATGCAAATATGCACAATTTTAAAACATCGGCTAATAAATAAAAAGGGTGTCCCCACTACAGCAAGTTATAAAACTGTGTGAAATATATCTGTAACCTATGATGCATAATTTAAAAATATTGGTAAATACATTATTTACAAAAAGATCCTCAAAACAATTTTATAGCAAAATAATGTTTAAACCCCTCTACTTAGTACACTGARAATGCACCTAAAGTAAAAGGTAATTTCCACATTTTTTTAATATTTATTTATTTTTTTTTTTAGTTTTCGGCGGACACAACATCTTTGTAGGTATGTGGTGCTGAGGGTCGAACCTGAGCCGCACGCATGTCAGGTGAGCGTGCTACCGCTTGAGCCAAATCCCCAGCCCAATTTCCACATTTATAGTATCTATGTATTAAAAAAAAAAAGCAATGGGGCTGGGGATGTGGCTCAAGCGGTAGCGCGCTCGCCTGGCATGTGTGCGGCCCGGTTCGATCCTCAGCACCACATACCAACAAAGATATTGTGTCCGCCGAGAACTAAAAAATAAATATTAAAAATTCTCTCTCTCTATCTCTCTCTCTCTCCTCTCTCACTCTCTCTTTTAAAAAAAAAAAAAGCAAAACCCTAAGATTTTGTAAATTATAAAACTAATATATGGAGGGATAAAAACAAAAAAATCTGCACTTGCCTGAAAAGACTTAACTGTAAGCTTCTAATTTTTCATGTTAAAAAAGGCACTATGGTATAAAAAGTGGATGAGTCTCAGAAGGTTATATTTAAGAACTGGCTATACCTCTAACTAGTTATATAATTTGGAGAAGTCATTTAAACTTTCTAAACCTCAATTTCCCATTTACATAATGATTATGTTCAAAGAGATAAACTCTTAAAAGTCCCTTCTAGTCCTGGCTATGACTCGATACATCAAACTGAGGTTGAAATTTTATTATTGTCACTTCTAACCAATGTAGTCAATATTTAGCATGCCCATTATATTCAATTATGCTATACATTACATGAAAACAAACTTCTATACTCAAAGTATTCCCAAATACCTACAAAAATCACCAACAATCTAGATTCCTGATTCTTGTCCAGCACACCAGCTTTCATTTGCTCTTATTCTATCAATCTTCTCTAATCTCATGATTTTCCAATACAGATCTTTCATACCAACCAAGTTAATTTGTGTAAAGACTACCATCACTAAAGATTTCTGCCTACCTACTTTTGAATCCATTTACCTTCCAAATACAATTCAAAATTCACCTGATCCAGTGCCCATCTCTATATCTTTTGAATTTAGTCTTGGAAGACCTTATATTATCAATTTCAATGTTATTATGTTCTCCTCTTCTTCTTCTTTTGTTTTGTATTGTTTTTCTTCCATGTTGGGAATAAAGCTAGGGCCTCAAGAATGCTAGGCAAGCATTCCACCGAGTCATGTCCCCAAGCCACATCCCTGGTTCTCAACATTATTTTCAATCCAAAAATAATTTACCAAACTACCAAGAGGTTTCATTTTAATGTCATAAGAAAAGGTTATCTGAGAATTATATGTTCTATAAGATAACTACTAGAGAAATTTATAAATACTTTAAGCAAAAAATACACAAGTCAAACTATACCATCTTTGGTATACAGCTTTTGGTTACATATTTTCTTGAACACCATTCACACACACATTTGCTTAAATCTGAACTTACACACACAAATAAATGAAAACTAATAAAAATGGGTGCTTAAAAGAGAATGGAAAGGGAAGAGAGAAGCCTAGGAAGAACAGATAGAAGCAAGACTGCTGTCTATCTCTTTGAATAATTTTGAACTTTTTGTTTTATTGTGTGTGTGAGAGCAGTGCTAGGATGAACTCAGGGTCTTGCACATACTAAGCATGTGTTCCACCACTGAGTTAAAAACCCAGTCCAAATTTTGATCTTTAAACCATTAACAATTTTTTAAAACATCTCACACAGGGGTTGGGGGCATAGCTCTGTGGCACAGTAGTACTTGCCTAGCACATGAGACTGTGAGTTCAATCCACAGTACTGTTTAAAAAAAAAAAAAAAAAGGTTTGTGTTTATAAAAGCCTGTATTTTCTAGGTCTTTTCACTGAAATGGCTTATAAGCAATGTCACACAAACACTCCCAGAGCTCAGATTTTGCCTCTACTAATACATTAAAAGGTACTAACTTCTTGGGAAGAGATGATGCCAGATCTGGGGCAGGAAAGTTCATGTGAGCATACTCTTCTGTGGCTGAGAGCAAGGAAGGAAAATAGAAATGAATAGTAAATATTAAAGGAGGTCTCAATGGCTATAATAATCTGAGCATCACAGAAAAAATTTAAATGAGTAAATTAAAACAACCTGAGAGCTGGGAATATACCTCAGATGGTAGAGTGCTTTCCTAGCATGACAAAGCGCTGGGTTCAATCCCCAGCACCACCATTAAAAAAAAAAAAAAAAAGAAAGAAAGAAAGAATAAAATGAAAATTCCTAAACCTATAAAGATACTCAAAACAATTAAAAAGTTAAAACAACAACAAAAACCCTTTCATCTGTCACCTTTTGAGATGGTGAAGTGAAGAATAGTTCTTCACTTTGAAAATTGGCAACAGTAGGGGATTCAAGTATTTAACTTGCTTTTTCTATAGGAAATACCTATCAGGACAACAAAACAGTCCACTTCATAAATTCTGCTTGAGGGAAAACCAGAAACTAGTAGATGTGAAAAGGACAGAAACAGAAGTCATTATTTTATTGGGTGTAGTGGCACACACCTATAATCCCAGCAACTCCAAARACTGAGTTAGGAGGATTGCAAATTCAAGACCAGCCTTAGCAACTTAGTGAGGCCCTAAGCAACTAAGCAAGACCCTGTCTTAAAAAATAAAAAGGGCTAGGAATGTGGCTCAGTGGTTAAGCACCCCTGGGTTCTAGCCACAGTACTAAAAAATAAAATAAAAATAAAAATACCAAAAAAGGACTGGGGGTGTGGTTCAGTGGTAGAGCAACTTGCCTAGAATGTGAAGAGCCCAGGATTTGGTCTCCAGGACCACCCCCCCAATACACACACACAAAGTAGTCACATTTTGCAAGCCTTATTGATATAGGTAAAGATAAATAATAATCAACCCAAGCAAGTGGCTGAGGGGGAAATAGGTTTTCTTAAGAGTCAAAATGATACTACAGAAAATACTTTCTAAAGTAAGGAGACAAACATAGATGAACAATGGAAGAAAAAATTGTCATTGCCCAATCTCAGTGGCCAATCTCAGCATTACCAAGAATCAGAGATCAAATAACTTGATATAATACAGTATAAAGGACTGAGAATCATCTCTGATTACCAAGTATCTTGTACTTAAATTCACTTTTTAGATAAAAAGTTTAATTTACAGAAAAACACAGAACAAGCTAAATGACATTGAGAAAGTAAATCATACATATTAAAAGGTCTATAGGGCATGACCCAGTCTCTCAACAAATCAGTACCATTTTTTTTTTTTTTAAGAAACAGGTGGCTGCCCTTGATTTATAAAATCTTTAGGTTCCTAATGGCCAATATCACCAGTGCAATGGTAGCCCACATATTATTTTAGACAAACCAGTCATTAAAAAAAAAAAAAAAAATTTTTAAAGCCAAATAGAGAAACCTGTAATATAATCTGGGAATTAGATGAAATGAAAATTTCTTGAAGTGAAAAAGTAGACATTAAGACCATGAAGGGCAGGTTTCAAAATAGAATGTAGTGTGATACCACTTTGATAAAAGAATATGTATACATAGCCATGCAGATAGATATAGACAAAAAGACTACAAACTAAGGTACTAAAAGTAATTACCTCTAGGTAGTAGGAATTTTTATGATGTAGTATCAGTTCTGCATATTGCTTTTTTTAAAAAGCTTAATTTCTAGGGGCTGGGATTGTGGCTCAGAGGTAGAGTGCTTGCCTACCATGCTTGGGGCCCTGGATTCAATCCTCAGTACTGCATAAAAATAAATGAATGAAATAAAGGTATTGGGTCCAACTACAACTAAAAATAAATAAACAGAGCTTAATTTCTATTTAAAAAGTTTTGGCCAGGCGAGGTGGTGCATGCCTGTAATCCCAGCAGCTCGGGAGGCTGAGGCAGGAGGATCATGAGTTTAAAGAGCCTCAGCAAAAGCGAGACCTGCTGAGCAACTCAGTAAGACCTTGTCTCTTAAATAAAATACAAAATAGGTCTGGGGATGTGGCTCAGTGGTTGAGTGCCCCTGAGGTTCAATCCCGGTACCCCCGACAAAAAAAGGTTTTAACAAAAATATCAGAGACTTAAATAACATTTACTTTATTTAAATGTTCACCTCCAGCCTTAAAGAGTTCTTATTAGAAAGACTCCAAAAGAAAACCATTAGGATTACCATTGCTAACATCACGAATATTAGCTATATCTTCCATTATTCTAAAATAACAAAGTTGCTTCTTCTAAAACTGCAGCTTTTTTAGTTATGAAAATGTTTTGGTATATTATATTCACTAATGATGGAAATACACAGAAGAGAGCAGAGGTTCAATCAAGCCTAAAGCAATATAATTCTTGAACTGAAGAATCTTTACTTTTTAACTCTCCCTTGAAGCACAAAAACATAAGATGAGAAACGGAAAAAATGAGGCCCCCAAGAGCAGCAGAAGAAAACCTAAAACAGTGGCAGCTATCACCAGTCTGGAATTATGATCTAAAAAGTTATAAATACATTTTGGTCAAAAATATAAATTGAAATTATTTAAGATTCCCTGAACATTACAACAAAAATTGTTTTACTAAAGGAAGGAATACTTCTTACCATTAACAAAGTTATCTGAAACTTTTTCCTAGAAAAGTATAAAAGTCTATACAGCCCCTTAAAATGTGGTTAAACTAGGACTAAGCTCAAATGTATCCCTGCACTATAAATACTAATTAATGAAGCAAATAAACTGGCAAAGT